GCTCCATCGACCACGCCGCCAAGCGCGTGGCGAAGTTCCGCGCGAGCTTCGACCGCATCAAGGAGGGCATGGACGTGCTCGTGGGTTACGCGCTCTCCGACGACGGCTTGCTACCCTGCGGAGGGCGACGGAAGGCGTCGGGGTGGGCATCGCTCCCGAGAGCGTGGGCGCCCCTCCGGCCGCGGAGACGGTGGCGCAGGAGGTCGGCGCCCGATGGCGGTGGAGGTGGTGCCGGGGCCGCCCCGCGCGCCACCTCCACCCCTCGAGGATGGACCTGGCGCCGCAGACCCTCCCCGTGGTGATGATAGCGACCCCCTGCTCGACGACGACGTTGAGGGCCAGGAGCACCAGCTGGTCGACGCCAAGATTGTGGAGGAGGTCGCGGATGTCGAGCCCCTGCTGCGGCTCGGCCTCGCCAAGAAATCGCTGAGGCGTATGGCGCGGGCCTGCGGTGTCCTCAAATTTGAGACCATGCGCGCCCACGCGCTGGGAGGCATGGGGCCCATCCTGGAGAAGCAAGAGGACATGATGAAGGGCGCGGCGGCGCAGGACGGGGTTCAGAAGTGGCTCGACGCGCTGGATGCGGAGGCAGAGGTTGATGTGGTGAGGCTGAAGAAGGGCCTCCTGGAGGCCTCGGAGGTCGTGGACGCGCACCTGGGACACAAGCGTGCGTGGAAGGAGGGGTGCCAGGGCAACGCCATGGCGCAGGAGGCCTGCCGGCGGGTGGGCGACTGCACGGGCCAGCTCTACCGTGGCAAGGGCATTGCGTTCAACATGTACTACAAGTGCTCGGCCAACAAGACCTGGGACAATCCCAAGGGATGCTGCTCGGTGATCCGTTCGGACCGCTGGACGCAACTGCTCGCCTGCGCGCAGGAGGCGGCGGGGGGCTCTGGCCAGCGCTGGTGCTGCCATTGTGGCGCGCGCTACGCGACTTCCTACGGCGTCTGTATCGAGATGATAGAGGAAGAGCTGAGCCCGCCCCGCGCGTACTACGTGCACGCGGACTTCCCTCAGGAGGACATCCGCGACTTGAAGGCCCTGCTGCGTTACGACAAGCTCAAGAGGGAGGGGGTAGCGGTGCTCAGCGCTGTGGACCTCCAAGGGCGAGCCGCTGGCGTTGGGCACCGTCTTTAAGCGCTGCGCTCCGCTGCAGCCGCAGTGGGAGGGCCACTAAGTGCTAATGGACGGGCTATCCTGGGACGACCTGCCTGAGTTCCAGTGATCCGACTTGTGCTCGCAGGTTGCCTGGGGGCTGAACGATCCAGCCTGGGCGGGCTACAGCAAGAACCAGCGGAAGAAGGCCAAGAGGGAGCGCCTGGCGACCGCGTGCGCGGAACAGGAGGCCTATGAGCGCCGCCACAACCTCCGGGAGGGCAGCCTCACGGGCGGCGGGGGTGGTACCGGGGTCGCCCCGCGTGCCGCTCCCGTCCGCGCCGCCAGTGCCCCCCCCGCTGGCTCGGCCCGCGGCAGCCAGGACCCGCCACCACCGCCTGCTGGAGCCCCGCAGGCGGCCATCATGGCCCCGCCGCCGCCGCCGCTGACGGCGCCGCCTGCGGCGCCGCCGCCGCCGGCTGGCCCTCTCCCGCAGCAGATCCCCAATGTCGCCGCCCTGAACGTGGCCCTCGGTGGGGATCTCGAGCGCCAGATCTTTGGGCCCCCAGGGCAGGCTGGCGGTAGTGGTGACCTCGGGGGAGAGGTGCAGGCGCTGCCGTCGCAGGTCTTCGCAGCCATTGCGCAAGGGACAGGCCAGTCCGCCTGAACGCTGAGACTCTGCAGGCCCCAGCATCGTTTACTTCTGAGCCCTCGGGGGGGCCACGTGAGTTCCTGTGTTAAGATCCCGAGCCTGCCACTCTCAATGATGCTGCGCCTGTATGCTCGCTTGCGCTCTAGCTTTAGCAACGCCGCCGTGCCAGCTTGCGCGGGTGCGCCCGCAGTGGCGCCCCCCCTCGCGCCGCGGGCCCTGTTGCTTAGTTCTGCGCTCTTCGCGCGGTCAACTGTGCGCCTAGCCATTTTGGCTTGCCATCCTGGCTTCTTCTCGCGCCTACTTGCGCTCGTTGGCGTCGCTGGAGGTACTGGGGTCGCCCCGTGTGCTGCTGTGCCGCCGCTGTGCGCCTAGCCATTTTGGCTTGCCATCCTGGCCTCTTCTCGCGCCTACTTGCGCTCGTTGGCCTCGATGGCGGTACTGGGGTCGCCCCGTGTGCTGCTGTGCCGCCGCTGTCGCTTTACTCTGGGCCGTAGGGACCAGCTGCCCTCGGATAAGCGCCCGCCGCTGCATGCGCGTCAGATCCGCCATTTCACCCAGAAGAGGTGCTCGCTACATACTGGGAATGAGGCAGCCACAAGGACGCTCATCCCATGGCGGTTGAGCCGTGGTGATGTGGTGCACGAGTCCGAGTAGTAGTAGTAGTAGTAGTAGTCGTAGTAGTAGTAGTAGTAGTAGTAGTAGTAGTAGTAGTAGTAGTAGTAGTAGTAGTAGTAGTAGTAGTAGTCGTAGTAGTAGTAGTAGTAGTAGTAGTAGTAGTAGTAGTAGTAGTAGTAGTCGTAGTAGTAGTAGTAGTAGTAGTAGTAGTAGTAGTAGTAGTAGTAGTAGTAGTAGTAGTAGTAGTAGTAGTAGTAGTAGTAGTAGTAGTAGTAGTAGTAGTAGTAGTAGTAGTAGTAGTAGTAGTAGTAGTAGTAGTAGTAGTAGTAGTAGTCGTAGTAGTAGTAGTAGTAGTAGTAGTAGTAGTAGTCGTAGTAGTAGTAGTAGTAGTAGTAGTAGTAGTAGTATAGTAGTGTAGTAGTAGTAGTAGTAGTAGTAGTACAGTAGTAGTAGTAGTAGTAGTAGTAGTAGTAGTAGTAGTAGTAGTAGTAAGTAGTAGTAGTAGTAGTAGTAGTAGTAGTAGTAGTAGTAGTAGTAGTAGTAGTAGTAGTAGTAGTAAGTAGTAGTAGTAGTAGTAGTAGTAGTAGTAGTAGTAAGTGTAGTTAGTTAGTAGTCGTAGTAGTAGTAGTAGTAGTAGTAGTAGTAGTAGTAGTAGTAGTAGTAGTAGTAGTAGTAGTAGTAGTAGTAGTAGTAGTAGTAGTAGTAGTAGTAGTAGTAGTAGTAGTAGTAGTAGTGTAGTAGTAGTAGTAGTAGTAGTAGTCAGTAGTAGTCGTAGTAGTAGTAGTCGTAGTAGTCGTAGTAGTCGTAGTAGTCGTCGTAGTCGTCGTAGTAGTAGTAGTAGTAGTAGTAGTAGGAGCAGGAGCAGGAGCAGGAGCAGGAGCAGGAGCAGGAGCAGGAGCAGCAGCAGCAGCAGCAACAGCAGCAGCAGCGGCAGCAGCAGCGGCAGCAGCAGCAGCAGCAGCAGCAGCAGAGCTGGAAGACGCCTTCACGCGCGAATCAGGTACACAGCTCGGGCCGTTCCTGCTGCAGCCCATCAGTTTGGGCGTGCGTGGTCAGGTTCTCCTCGGCGGGATTGGACTTGCTGTGGTGACATTTTCGGGCTTCAAGGTGCGGGATTTGTCTCGTACTTTGCTCGGGTCGTTGCCGAGTGTGGCACATACTTCCTCGTGCGTTGGAGAGCGTGTTTCCTCCTGCGTTGCCCAGGCCGATTTGCTCGCTCATGCAAGCTCCGTGCGGTGCATGGCGGCGCTAACGGCTGTCAACATCTTGTCTGGTGTTCGCATGTTGTCCAGGCCTTCAATACGCACCACCAGCGATGCTGGCTTGTTGGAGTTGTATCAGAGGGTCGGAGAGGGGAGGGGTCGCCGGGGTCAGTACAAACCTGTGGTTATGGCACCGATGGTTCCGGAACCACAGAAGGCCCTTCCTTTCCATGGCAACCCGCATCGACTCGACACCGTTCGGGAGTGCTTGCTCAAGCCAGACGGGCCCTACGGTAGCGGGTACGTCCCTGCTGGATACGGTGGCGCCCCCCCCCCCCGGTTCCTCATGTACGTCTGGGCGCTTGATGCTCATGGCACTCCGACCAACGTCTCGATGGCTTTTGCCCTTAGGAACGAGGGTGGTGGCACCTCTGGCTGTGTGTGTGTGTCGTCTCGCCATCAGCTCGTGGTTTGCAAGTCCTGGGGCATCGTTGGCTTTAGTCGTGTTGATGCGCGTTATAGCAAGGATATTACGTGGCAGAGGTTGCCCGCCCTACCGAACCCCCCCAAGTCCGCCCAAAAGGCAAAAACCATGCAGCGGGGCGTGGACTATGACTTGGACGACATATGGGAGTGCGCCCTGCCTGTGTCGCACAACCTGCTCGAGTACATCAGCTTTTCCGTTGGTGACATACTGTGCGGGGGAGACCTCTCGCTAGTCACTCTCGACTCCGCACCTGTTGTGGTGAGGTGCGCCCCGTGGAGTACTTTGTGTGATGGGAGCGACCGGCCTGTCCATGTGTGCGGCGTTTCTGCCGGTGGCTCTTTTGTGCGGGGCACAGACGGCGCGGTGCTGCCACGCGCCACTGCTCCGTTCAGCGCGCCGACATATTTGGCCAGCGCCAGGTTGGCACGATGGAGTTGGAGTCAGTCACGGGCGTTTCCTTGGACTCCGCCAACTCAGATCGGGTCGGGCGAAAGGGGGGGATTGGGAAAGGGGGGGTTGCGAAATTTGCTGCATGCATCTGGTTTCGGCCTCACCGAGGGGCCCATTCCTCGATGCATAGCCGCCTCCGGCGCCGGGAGGCGCCGGGACAATCAGCTACGTGAGCTGATTCTCAACCCCCCCCTTTGCTATCCCCCCCTTTCGCCCGACCCGATCAGAGAAGGGCCTCTCAGGGGCTCTTTTGATCAGTCGGAACGCCAGTGGAGTGTTCCGAGTGCATGGCATGCGCATTGGCAGCCCTGGCGCTAAGTTTTCCGACGACGCCCCAACATGGGCGTCGTACAATGACAGCGTCACTGTGGACTCCAAATGCCAGCTAGGATTGCGGTTTGGTGTCGCACCCCGGAGATCGTACCACTTGGTCACCCCTGGAGACATGCAAGAGAGCCCCCCTCCTCGTTGCAGGCAGTCTAAGCTCGCGTGGCGGGCCATGGCCTCTGACGCCAGGGCGCGGCTCAAGCTCCTACAGGCCGACAGGCGGGCTCGTTGCGAACAGCGTCGATTCAGGGCCGGCCAGTCCGATGATTCATCATCGGATGAGGGCTGGCTTGACGCTGAAGTCGCCGCCGACTTCGACGAGGCGGTCCAGTGCGGCCAGGCCGGCATTAATTACAATGACGGGTTTGTGCTCACCTATGGCAGGAGGGAGCGGCGGCGGGAAAAGGCTCTCATGTCGCAGTGGAGGTCCATCACGGGATCCAACTGGGCCGACATGGAAGACGCTCAAGAGGCTCTCTTGCTTCGCATTCCTCGTCCCAGCGCCCCTCCGAGGGCTGGCTTTCAATCGACGGTAGCGCCGGAGGATTCAGTTTCCGCTGCTGCGGCTGGTCCCCCTCCAGAAGCTGGTGCCGAAGGGTTGCCGGAGAATGGTGTTGGTGTAGCCCGTGATTCAGTTTCCGCTGCGGTAGTGCGGACTCGGGGTGCCCGGGGGCGCAGACGTCCAGTTCCGGGCTCTCCAAAGCGCGGTCCACGACCGACCGGGGAGCATACTGGTCGCCGTCGATGTCACGAACGCCTTCGGCACGGTCTCCCGCCAGGCAGTCCTCGACGCTTTGGGGGCGGTCCTCCCAGAATGCGGCAGCCTGCTCGCCCGGCTCTACGCGAAGCCCGCCGTGGGTCTCTGGCCCGACGGCGAGGGGGACCTGCGCGAATTCAGCGCCGGGGCCGGGGTGCCACAGGGCTGCCCCTTGAGCCCCGCAGCCTACGCAGCGGCCCTGCACCGGGCGACGCTTCTTCACTTCACGGGCTCCCCGCGCTGGCTGGTCACGGCGTGCCTCGACGACGTCGTGGCAGTGGTACCGGCCGCAGAAGCCCAGCAGCTCCTCCAGGATTTATCTGGAAGGATGAACGCCTGGGGGCTCACTCTGAACGAGACCAAGACGAAGGTGTGGCCCCCGCCGGGCCACGCTCAGTGTCCCCCAGCACTGCGGCCCTACGTGGTGGACGAGCTCCGCGTACTCGGGTGCGGCCTGACTCGCCGCCAGGACGACGACTGGGAAGAGCTGGCGGCAGGCTCTGGAGGCGGCGCCCGGGCAATGAGCAAGGTCGCGGAAGCCCTGCGAGTTGTTGGCCAGACCCTGCAAGACGCCTTGGCCGCTGGCCTCGGGCTCCAAGAGGCCGGGGCCATGCTCCGCTGGACGGCGCGGGGCTTACCAAATCACCCCCTACGCGCGCAGCTCGTGGACCTGCAAGCGGTGCAGAACTTCGACCACGCCCTTAGGGGCATTTGGGGCTGGCTGCTTGACGAGCCCTTAACAGACAGGGAGTGGGCCCAGGCGTGCCTGCCGCTGCGCGTCGGTGGCCTCGCAGCGGGCGCGGCCGAGCCCCGGCGGGAAGCTGCGCGCGTTGCTGCGTGGTGCGCCGCGGCCCCAAAGGTCGCGCTCGCCCTCGGCATGGGCAGCGCCGAGGAGCTTCTCGCGAGGCAGGCCGCGGGCGCGGGGGACTTCGCCAGCGCGGTGGCCGCGTGCAGCGCCAAGGTGGGCAATGCGGCCCACTACTTGCAGGTCTCGCTGGCGCAGGGGGAAAGGGGCAGGCAGAAGGACCTGATGCGGCCCATCATGGTCGTCCTTCAGGGAAACGCGACGGCGGGGCTCGACAACCGCGCGCTCGGCCGCATCCACTCCTGCGGAGGCCCGGGCGCTGGGGCATTCACGTTGCTGCCCACGGCGCCGGAGCGCAGGATGGCGGGCGACCTCTACCGGCTGTCCTTGCGGAGGCGCCTTCAAATGGAGGGCGCGCGGTTGCTGAAGGTCATGCATTGCAGACGCACTGTCGGAACAAGTCCCGTCACGGGGCAGTTTGCGGAGCGATGCTTGAGCCCGATCAGCGCCGCGCCATCGCGTGCGAGACGGGGCCCGCCCGCGCTGGGCGGCGCGACAGTGTCCGCGACCTGTTGGCGCGCTGGCTGGCCGAGCGGGTTGCAGGCCCCGTGCGCACCGAGCAGACGGTGCCGCAGTGGCTCCGCCGGCGCCGGGACCCAGCAACGGGCCAGGAGCGCGTGGAGTTGGCGGTGCTGGACGTCAAATGGTGCGAAAAGGGCACGTGGCACGTGGTGGGCGTGGTGGTCGCGAGCCCTGACTCCACCGACCTGCGCGAGGAGCGGGCCAGGGCGGCCCGCGCAGGCTTAGCGGCCGAGGGCGCGGCGCGCGGCAATCAGCTGCGGTGCCCGCCAAGGCCCGCCGCGCCCCCGCTGACGCCCTTTGCGGTGGAGACAGGAGGCCGCTTGGGCGAGGCTGCCAGGCAGCTGGTCTTGGACAGGCTGGGCCGCCGAGACGGCGAAGCCGGCGCCAGCGCAGATGCTGCGGCGTTCTGGCAGGAACTCTCGGCCGCCCTGCAAACAGGGGTGGCCGAGCAGATCCTGGCCGCCCACCGGCCCGCGGCCGTCGGTGGTGGGCGCTGAGCAGGGCGGCGGGGGACGACAGCGAGAGAGCGCCGAGGAGGAGGAGGAGAACGACGACGACGACATCTATAAGGAGAAGGAATGGAGGAGGAGGCGCGCCCGCGCAGCGGCGCCACCGCCATGAGCAGCACCACAGCGACCGCCACCACGAGGACCACTACTAGTACCACCAGGTACAGCAGCAACCGCGCCGCCGCGGAGGAGCACCGATTGCCGACACCACGACAGCCACCGACGACACCGAGCCCTAGCGGCAACGACAGCCCGCCAGTGAGCCACGACCGCCGACGCTGACGCCCGACCCCTGTCTCCCCCCGTGTCCCCCGGGCCCTTGCCCGCCCTCCCTTTCTCTCTCTGGGCCGTCGCCCCCCCCTTTCCTCTTCCCCTCTTCCTTTTGGCGGCCGGAATATCCGACCCGCGGGTGGCCGAAACGTGCCCGGTCAGAGCCTGCGAATTCAATTAACATTCAAATCAATGGAGGGGCCCCGCGCTAAGGCGGGGGCCTCGCATTGTGCATAGTTCATGATGATATGTGCGGGGCTTTCGGCCGACACGCCTCGCCCCTTCGCTTCTTGCCCGCCCGTTCTTCCCTTGCTCGCTTCGTGCCCTCTCACTCTTTCTTCGCTTCAGTGAGGAGCAGCAGCAGCAGCAGCAGGACTTAACAGTTTGATTTCCACCCTGAATGTTCCTGCTAGTCATGTAGTCACTGTACATCTTGATGTTCAGTATAGCGTTCAAGCACTAGCGATGGGCCTCGTGCGTGCTAGCTGTACTGTCATCCTCCATATGATACTTCTAGTATGCAGGCTCGGACATGTGTGTGGTGTGTTCATCGCCCAGTTTTCTCTGCCATGCAGTTTGATTGTGCTCTTGCATTTCGTTGACTTGATTTGACTGGCCCGCAGACGCGGCTCAGGGAGAGGGAGAGCGTAACCTCAGAGTCCAGAGCATGGACTGCCGTCTCAACTCGGGGACCCTGACGGAGATAGGTGCTGAAGGCGTGGGGAGGGGAAGGAAGGGAGAGCCTGGCCTTTGCAGATCCTTGTCTCTCCTCCTTCGGCCCCTCGTTGTTATCGTCATCTCATCGGTCATCCTTCTACTAGCAGTTCACCTACAGATTCCTTATTGTTGGCGTGGGTGCATAAAACAACGGTCTGTTGCCTGTACGAGCAACGATGGATCCAGCGGAAGCGAGAGCACGGTAAATCCTCCCCCACCTACCAGCGCAGCACTGGCTGCAGCACCTCCAAGGGACTCCAGCTCCAGACATCCTCAGCAACATTGGTGGTGCCTGTGATGTCCCTCGGAGTGCAGTGTCACGCCAACGTGCTCGAGCCATCAGTGCCCGTCCTGGAGCCTGGGCATATCGATGCTTTCAAGACTCAGCAACGGCTGAGCTGATCAAATCGGTTCGTTGCGTTCTCGGCCTCTGGCTCCTCAGAGGCAGTTCCAACCTCCCCCTTTGGTGCCTATGCTGCAACCTTGGCGTGTACCAGGCCCTGTACTATATCCACCAGCATCTTGAGCGTAAACAGCAATTACGACTCATGCTCAGAGCTGCGAAACCAGCTCTACAGTGCACGATGTCACACAAGATGTGCAGTGCGCCATTCTGGAGAGATTACATATTGCAGATGCATTCCACGACGTGGAATGAGGACAGTACCCAAGAGACAAGCATGTTAGACAGTATTTTTTCTACGGAAAATAATATTTGGTACCCTGGCAAGGCCAAAACAGCTCGGAGTAAAAATAGGATCAACTGGAATGGTGCCGTCAGCCGCTTGCGTGAGCACTGGTGTGCAGCCTTTAAAGGCATGGGCGGCCGAGAGCACCGGCCCATATATAAAAGCTGGAAAGGTTCTGCTCTCTGGAGCCTTGTTTCAGTTCCCCTTGCCCACGGACCCGCACAACACATCCTTCGCTATGAAGCACTTTGCATTGAGATTCTCCAGCCCCCGACACAGCGTAGCCCAGGAGCCCATCATCATCATTATCAATGTCGCGAACGTGTGCCGCGACTATTCCCAAGGTTCAGGGCACAGCTGTCAAAGGAGAGAGGGTGTGAGCTTAATATTCTTCGAGGAAGTAGGACAGACCCATACCTTAGGAACAGATTTGATACCCAACGGATATCCTTCGATGTGTTGGTTGCATGGTGTCGCGAGAAACTCCTCATTCCCCGCGTGCGCGTGCATGCACTTATGTACCAGAGAGGTTTTGAACCCTGGCTTGCAATCTACCTTGCCCAACCTGCCAACAGATTGCAGTATTGGGCCATGTGGAGGCGTGCCCATCTGGTCGAGTACACAATTACATTTTGGTCTTGGGCAGGTCGACTCCCGAAGCGAATGTGTATGCTTGTGCGTAGTAAGCTTGAAAGGGCCCTTTCCTCAGGCAACCTCCTCCCCGCGCGCGCATGCGCAATTCGCGTCCCATGTAATGACCCCCAAGCGTTGCGAAACATCAGAGGTCTCTTCCGTGCATACTTACACCATGTCTGTAAGTTCCAGCCTCATCTCTTTGAGTTCTTGTGAGCCAACGCACGTGTTTGCGGTGCCAAAGTTCCATCGCATATCGACGCCATCACCGATCAGTTTGCTGCTGCTGCTAACTTTTCGTTCGCCAGTTACCAGCATATTAAGACTGACCCCCAATATATGTATCGGTTGGCCCCAGATGTGTTTCGCAGTGACATGTATTGGAATGTTCCCACCCCTTTCTCCCCCTCATTTGTCTGGCAGCATGTATCTGAAGCCGCCAATAAGCTTCATAGGACATGCCAATTTGAGGGTCACACTATTCGGCACAATTTGTTGCGAGCCCGCTTTGGAGCCATGTTTGCCCGATCCCTATCGCAGGAGACGCACCGCGCCCCTATGCAGCAGCTGGGGGAACAGATGCGGCAGGGGCTCCCAGAATGCGTATGGATCGGACTTGACAAAGACCCACGCAGACGCGTGGGCATGCCGTGGTTTAGATATGTTGTCCAGCTTGGAGACACGTTTGCTTCAGACATAGCCCATTATGAGTACTTACCCCAGTATACTGCAAAAACGGTTGCCAACTTACAACGACAAAGAGATCAGCTGATCGCGCCCCGAAAATGGAGGAGTCGCCACAGAGCTGAGCCACAGCGCATCCCTAAGGCATACCTCACGGTTAAAGGTAAGTGCTTGTCAGCTGGTGGTGAACTCGTTTGTGCCAAGCCTCATGCCCATGTTAGGGGGATCGTGTCGAATATACATGCCACACAGCGTCATTTCTTACGCAGGTGTTCACGTGCGATTCGGTTGGCCAAGCGTCTCTCAGGTGACCCGAGCTGGACTCTCTGGAACCCCTCTGAATTTCCCAAGGTCCTGCGAGGAAGGGTCTCTCGACTTTCCCGAGTTGCCCAGTATGCGCACGTCTGCAAGAGCTGTGGATGCAATACACCCTCCCTGGCCTTCTGTAAAGCAGATGCATCACAATTTTTTAAGGATGCAAGTGTGCCCCGTGGGGCGGCTTGCATACTCGAGTTGCTTGGCCGCCTCACAAAAAAACATCAGTACTTCGGAGTTCTCGTGCAGAGAGGGAGAAAAGGCTCATGGACACCTTGTGCGACAGGGTGATCCCATCAAGCCCAATTATGACCTTGTCACTTTCAATGATATCCGATCAGCCCTGACATTTGCGAAACTTGACACAGACTTCCTGGTCGGAGATGCAGTGTTTCGGAGAAAAAAAAGGGCTGGGCCATGGGCGGAGCCCTCAGCGAGCCAGCGACGCTCGCAGACCTCGGCTCCAGTCTCATGCGCCTCTATCAGAATGACAGGTTTGCGCAGCAAATTGGCCTTGCTTTCCCAGGACTGTCAGCAGGGGACACAATCCAAGGAATCCGGTATTTTGATGACAGTTTATTTTTCTCACGGCTATCAGGTAGTTCTTGCATATTCACAGCGTTACACCGTGTTTTTTCTTAGAGATGTTGGGTTCACATGTGAGGCATTCTCCCTCCCTCTCACGTTCTTGCAAGCTTTCATTCACCAGCCCTCCCGTGATGTTGAGTTTCGATGTGATGCGTTCTCAGGTAATGAGGATTTTGCCCGAGGGCTACAGCCAAGCCCTAAATATGCAAAGTTTCCCGTGTTCTTTTCGGCAGTTGATTGTCTTCCCCAGCGTTTCCTCGACACCAGAGTTTGGGAACGCCATATTAGCTATGACTCCATGGGGGAAGGGGGCCCTGCTCGTGCCCAGGTTGCCCTCGTCGACCTCCTTTCCGAGCTACTGCTCCTGGAGTGGCCCGCTGAGATGGTCGGGGAAAGCGCGCGCAGGCTTCCGCGCAGGCACGCGTCGTTGTTCCTTCGCGCCGCGGGAGCTCTGGGGAGAGTGCTGGCAAGATGTGGCCATGAGTTCGACGAGGGCCGAGCCTCAGGAGAGCTTGGGGCTGTGGGGGCCCAGGCACTTCTGTCCACGTCCTTCCGCGCGCTCTTGGCTCAAGCCTCCAGTCAACTTTCCAGCGCTTGTGCAGCGTCCTAGCGCTTCTCGCCCTCGCATGCGCGTCCTAGCGCTTCTCCAGTTGCTCTGCGCCAGTTGGGCCATAGGCTGGTCTCCCGGCGGCCGCGGCAGCAGCGGTTCCAGAGGCCCTGGACCCAGCGGAGGCAAGCCATACCAGCACCAGCAGAAGTACCGGCAGAGCAGGGACTACCAGCCGCACCAGCAGCAGCACCACCAGCGTGGGCCCCCAGCATGGACCCACTCGGCGCTGGAGGAGAACCGTGACCTCCAGAACCTATTCACAGCCCGTGAGGAGAAGCGAGAGCGCAAGGCCATGGCCAAGTGGATGCGCTCCTCGATTGCCAAAGGTGTTCGGAACTGTGTTTCAGATCTTTTCGGGTTCAAGCCTGATTCCAAGACGGTGAAGAAGACAATTGGGCAGGATAAGAAGTTGAAAAAACGTGGCTTTGGGTTCCTTACAATTGGAAAACAACGTGTACTGCGACAGGTTGACAGCAGCACCTCGCCGAGCAGCGCATCGACAAGCAGCAGCGC